AACAAAATGTGATTAAAATGACTTAGAGTATTTACAAAAAGAAAACTCCTAAAATACGGTATGAATAATTTGGTTGATACTCCTATAAATTCCGTTTAAAAACAAAGAGATATAAAATTTAACTAAAATTGCTTAAAAATACATTAATCAAGATGTTTACATGTTAAATACTAGTTTAAAAAAAAAGAAAACATAATGTGTAAATTTTAGTTAAAATAGGTTACTCCCAAAAAATTATCCTTAACAGAAGAAATTCGTTTAAATAACATATAACTAAAATTACTTAAAATAAATTAATCAAGATATTTGTTAAAAGAAAAAATAGCGTGTAAATTTAGTTAAAATAAGTTACTCCTAAAAAAAATTTTCCTTAAAGGAAACCGATTGAAAAAACGAGTAAATACTAAAAAAAAAAAATATGGGTAATTACGAAAAAAAAAAAAATCGAGTAAAGAAAAAGAATATAAGAATATAATATGTATAAGAATGTAAGAATATTTTTTGTAATAAAATAAATCTACTCGAAAGACCAGTAAAACGCAAAAATGAAGTCGTTTAATATGTGGCTGAATGCAACTCGAATAAATCGTTTCTCTGAAGCTTCTCGTCATCTATATATACAATTTTAACAAACATATATACAAATCTATATACACTTTTAAGCTTTAAAATTATTTAGTAGTGGTATTTACGACATATGTTCATCTACACTGGGAACGTTCGTATTTTTAGTAGTTTTGGGCCACTCATTAGCCCTATTTATCCACAACCACCTGGTGGCCTCTTCGACGGACTCCGGGATCATTTGAATCACCCGCCTTCTTTTTTGTCTAGTTATCCCTAGGCTAGTAAGGGTTTGTATCATTGACTGTCCGGCGAACCCCCTACAGCCGATCTCGACCGAGAAACAATGAGTACGCCATCCTTTAGTCCTGCACTGGTCTAAGAGTTCCTTGATATTTACTGTACTTTCTATCAAATGCCTCTTGCATATGCTCCTCCCATGGGACAGTTGACTCCAGCCATATAATCTGTTTCGTGGCGTCGGAATAAACGATTATATCTGGACGGAGTTTGGATGATGATATATGTGTAGGGAATTTCAATTGTTTCCTGAGATCGACTCGCATCTGCCAATCCGACGCAGACGATAACAGTAAATGGGATCCTGCAACTTTTACACGGCTTTGAACCTACTTTAACGAAGGGGATAGCTCTTCTTTCTGGGATGAGTTTATTGCTCTGCAAAGCTTCAGCAGTAATGAGCACTGTCTCCTCTAAAACGTTGTCATGTCGCCACCAATAGCGCCAGTCTATCAGAGCAGTTCTGCACCCGCTCAGTATGTGTTGCAATGATCCCCTCCCCGAGCACAATGGGCATTTTGGTGAATCTATTTTCCCCCATAAGTGGAGGTTGGTCGCGCTTGGTAATACGTTGTACACCATCTGAACCAGGAATCTAGATTGGCTGAAGTCGGTATTCCAAAGATCTGATCACGACACTTACCGCCGATCTACACCGTCCCACCTGGTCCACGCACCCTGCTGGCTATAACCTGCCATTTCTGCCATCCGCTTTTCCTTCATCCCCGCTCTTACTTCGTCCTGTATCAGGTGTTGACGCTTTCTTCACGATAATTTTTCCGAATCTGTAGGAAGGAATCAGCCCCAGGCCTGTTCTTCCCTGCGCGAATGAACCCACCATTGCTTTTATCCTCAGGTTTCCTTCTGCGATAGCCAGTTCCTTAGTTGCTCTCCATCTTCTTCCCGTCTTGAACTCAATTCCCGCGCCTGATACTTTGGGATCTCTCGAGTTTCTATATGTGGTAGGTTCAGACGTCTGAATGGCCGCTAGATGGCATTGGATGATCCATATAAGGCTGCGCTGCTTAAGCTCCGCGGTAACCATCTACGGAGGAAACTTCTCTCCAACGTCTTCACAGTTGAGATGGAAACGCTTTTGTCTGGAGTGGCCATATTGCTCGTAGGAGCACACAGTGATGTATATAGACAGGCTTTGAAACGCCCTGGCAATCCAGATTTATCTATTTTCGCCAGCCACGAGTGAAAATCAGTGTGTTTCGCTTCAATAGTTGGTGTGTCCTACAGAGCATTACAAAAAGATTTCCCTAGATTTTTAACAGGCTTATCGGCCAACGTCGGGATGGCTCTCCCTTCTATTGTGAAATAGTGTTTTATCACCCGGCCCTTTTTTATTACCACTGATCTACGTTTGTTTGGCTTGAAATTCATTCTTGCCCGCTCAGTCTCTCTAAACCGCGTAACAGCCATCTACAGCCTCTAACAGAATGTGTGGTGACTGTAAGATCGTCCATGTAAGCCCGGATGGGTGGTTTCCTAATTCCGGTATTGGAAACGGGGCTACGGCATTCCACCTCAGCGGACTTCACGAGCGTATTCATCGCGAGAGCAAAAAGCATGCCTGACAATGTACAGTCTGTAATAATTCCTCTCTCGAGTCTATGCCAGTCTGAAGAAACCATACCGGATGAAACTCTTAGATGGAATTGACTGTAGTAATCCAGGATAAGCTCGCGGATACTACATGGGACGTAATGTCTAACTAAAGCTTCTTCCACGAGTTTATGTGGTATTGACTCATAAGCATTGGTCAAATCCAACCACGCAACAGCCAGGTCCCCTTTATTCCTCCTTGCATCCCTTATTAATTGAGACAAAACTCCTGTATGCTCAACGCAGCCAGGCATGCCAGGGATCCCGCCTTTTTGTACCGCTGTATCTATAAAGCTATTTTTTAGCAGAAAAGCTGATAGCCGTCGGGAGATCACACTAACAAATATTTTGCTTTCTGTACTCGGTAATGAAAGACATCGAAACTGATCGATATTTCTTGAGTTCTCTTCTTTAGGGCTCCAAAATCCTTCTGCGTATCGCCATTGTTCTGCCACTTTACCTCGCTGCCAAATTACTTTAATGATCTTCCATAATTTCATGAGAAGACCTGGGCAACGCTTGTACACGAAGTAAGGCACGTCACTCGGACCTGACGAAGCTGATCGAGCCGCCATTACTATCTGTTTAACTTCACTCAAACTTGGCACCCTTGTGTCGAACTCAACTTCTGGGGGTTGGGTTTAATGAGGCGATCATTAAATCCTAATTCCTCATTCTTCTTGTGTCCCTAAAAGAGCTCTTCAAAAAGGAATCCACCCTGTCTTTTGGGTATAATAATCTGCCGCTCCTCTTATCTCCCAGAAGTCTTCTGGCGAAACCAAACAGGTCGGAGATAAACGAAGCCCTCTTCCTGGGTTGCTCTTTCCTACGGCAACGATGTCTGCTCTTTGCATGTTTTTCAGTTTCTGTCTTAAAATATCTCTCAGTTCCGAAAGGGCTGGTCGATCCTCTTCACAAGCGGCCTTAAATTGTTTCTTGAGGGATCTTAATTCCTGCCTTACTTATCCTTCCTTCACGCCTATTCTGAGTGTAGACTTTATTTCTCGTTTTATCAATATGGCCGAAACGCTTTGATCCGTAGCATAGATTGAAGTCGTCGGTCTATGCTATCTGCAGACGTACCTTGAATTATAACGCATACGTCTTCATCAAAGTCGCGCCAAGCTTTCTTTCCGCTTAGAGACCACTCTGTCCTGCAAGGTCTGAATCTACACTGGGTGATGCTGGGCGCCGTGTTTTGTCACCGCTACCTTGTGTATTTATAGGCCACGTTGATTCTTGCACGTTTTAATTCCTTTTATCCAGTTGTCTTGTGTTCTGACGATTTAACTTCCTGGTTTATGTCCGTGCCCCAACCGACATTATTTGAGGAGCGATTCTGCACTTTTTGGTTTGGAGTACACCTTCTATGCCCACCCTCGTGCTTCCTGGGCTTTTTTATTTTTTGAGGTGAAACAGAGTTCAAAATTTAATTTGTTATATCTTAATGTGAAACATGTATATATTGGGATCACCACATATCAATTCATCTTAGATCAAAGTTCCTGATGGACATTAATGGCAAATCTCTGGTATTTTCTCATGTAAACGTAAGATTTGAAATCAACGTAAAATATGAAATTTTGTGCTAAGTTTTATATTGACTTGCCATCGATAGATTAATGCCAGTCAAAAGCACCAACCTAAGTTTGAAATCATCCGCGACGCAAAACAGTGAATATTTTGACAAAAATAATATTTAAGATCTTCACAATTGCTAAGCATCAGGAGTCTAGACTATTTTTGTCATATGTATTTCCTTTCGTTTGAAATATTTGAAATAACATGTTTGTGTCTTCTTTTAAATCCAAATTGTGTGAATTACCGAAGTGATGTGACTTGATGAATGTGAACGTGTTTACAGCTATTAACAATAAAAGGTAAAAGGTTTTAGAAAATTCAAGGAAATTCTGCAGTCTGTAAATAACTTGTTTATTCCCTCAGCAATTACGTTTGAAACCACTGTGGTATTTACGACTACAAAGACATTTAAATCACATACACACAAGCTACCGCATATAAACATATATATAAAAATGATGGCTACCACCTCCTTGTATATATGCATATATTTTACATATACATTAAAAAATTATTTTTCAAGATCTATGCTTGAAACATTTATATATATATACTTTCGTGTATAGATTTGTTGTATGTATTCATGTATGTATGTATGTATGTATGTATGTATCTATGTATGTATGTATGTATGTATTCATGTATGTATGTATATATGTATGTATGTATTCTTCATCTATTTTATTGTGTTCTTGTCCCGTATTTTCGAGGACTGTGAGGCTAGAGACACCTTGAGATATAAAGCATTAAGAAGAGTGTTCAATCTCAGAACGTTTAACACCAAAATTCAAGAGTTTTGAGTGCCTAATCCGAGATTTACTGTCTGCTGAAGATGTAGACTTTGTAACGCAGTCGAGGCAAGAGTTGCAACTCATATAATGAATCGTTCTACTGCCGCTTGTGATGCTTTTGGGCGGAGGATTAGCCTGAGTACGACGAAAGTGATGTTCACCACTCCACCTAGTGCGTACTATCCAACGATAATTGTGAAAAATTCCAGAGTGAAGGTCGTTGACACTTTCCCATATCTTCGCAGTACTCTATCAAAAGATGGTGCCCCGGATGCTGAGATTATTCAATCAGTCAATCAAGTGTAATATGGAAAGTAGAGGCAATTCATACTCATCAAATAACATTCTATAAATTAACTTGAAAATTATGAATATACTCATATTTATAGTGTATCTAAACTTAATCTCACTAAATATTTTTTCTCTCTTTCTCTCTTTTATATATATATATATATATATATATATATATATATATATATTAGTCCAAATTACTTTCCTTCTCACTATACACACACACACACACACATATATATATATGATTTATTTATTTCTAGTATACAAGAATTTAATTTCTTTTTTGATGATTACTTCCTTTATGATGATGGTGTTAATGACTAAATTTGACCTCAACGTGCAGGTTCAGGACTAGAAGCTTCTAGTTTCTCTAAAACCTGCCCCTCTCATCCATTTAGTATCGCCGTTTGGCTTTGCAAGAGTTGCTTGAGGGTGAAAGAAAATCAAAGTAGGAGAAAGTGACAATGACGTGAATTTATTTAAGGTGGGCCTCAACTTGGCAGGAAGTGACCCACACACTTCATTTCATGGCCTCACTCTTCGGTTCATATGGAATGACACATGCAGAATCCATTTGTGAAATACAACGACCTGTCGCTGATACTGTTATAATTTTGACTGGCGCATTCTGTAGCATGTCCGTCAACCGTTGAGATCTGTTGTAATCATCATCTGCTTGTTACACCGTTGGGTTTTTTTTGTGGGGGGGGTGATCGCATTTAGTCTGGGACCTCGTTTATGAAATTGCCGTCAAGAGTGGCCCTGCCAGAACTTTTTAAAACTCCCGACGGCATCGCTCGTAGAGTGATGGGACCACGACGCAAGCCCTTCCACTACAACAAGGAGCGATCATCAGAGGTACTCACATAGAAACATACACACATAAACATCCAGTGTAATATATATATATATATATATATATATATATATATATATATATATATATATATATATATATATATGAAAGAGAAGCAAAACCCATTATGAAACCAACAAGCAACTTGTCAAAACCTAAAACTCTTAACCAGATACTGTCTCGAATAAAAACAACACTGAAAAATAAAAGGCAAACTGAGTAGGTACCCAGTAAAGTAAGGTGTTCGAAGACTAAATTGCCTAGACCGAGCAAAAAACGCTTGACAACGTTAATTCCTATGAAAGTACGGCTCTGTTCGCAACCCGAATTTCACCCTCACGTGATCTTCAGACATAAGTCAAAACTGAATTTTATACTGAATTTGAATGTTTAGAATTTATTGAACGCTTAGGCAGGAAGTGTAAATTTTGAGAATTTTAAGCGTAAAATAAAAAAAATAAAAAATAAATAAATCAAGTAATGATTTTTTACAATAATAAAATTTGTTTAAAAGATACGAACGTTACAACGACAGAGTGCTCAATGTAACATATTTTAAAAAATCCAAAGCTAAGATAATCAATATAAAAAATGTCGAACATTACTTGATCTTTACCCGCCGCACAATCTTCAGGCAGTAGGTAAAGAGAAGAATATTTTCTAAATTAAAGCCTAATCGTCGCTTACTTGTTTTTTTTATTCCTATATCCTTTTTAAATATATTCTCTCATTTTACTTGTCACATCCGGCGAAAAAACGTCAACCTGTCAGCATTTTCTGTACAACTTCCTATCCTTTCATTACTTTCTCTCACTCCCACATCTCTCTCTCTCTTTCTATCTCTCTCTAAACATATATATCTCCATCTCTTTCTCCACCTTTCTCTCTCTTTCCCTTCCCTCATATTAAAACCCTATTTTAAAATCTATATTTTTCTCATCGTTCTCTCCTTCCCCCATCTATCTGGACATATATTTTCATATCTTTCTCCATTTTCTCTCTCTCTCTCTCTCTCTCTCTCTTTCCTTCCCTCCATATTAAAACTTTAAAATCTATATCTTGCCATCTTATTCTTGAAAAACGTTGTTTTCTTTTTTTTGGCGGGGGTCGCTTGTGCCTGGATAAATTTAAAATTTGTATATTGATTTAAAATTGTTTGGTACGATGAGACGAGATCGATTTAATCTCGTGAAATATATTACCATGGATTTATAAAGTATCCGCATTCATCATTATATATATATATATATATATATATATATATATATATATGAAAAGTGAGTTCGATCCCCACTAGATGCCCCATACTTTCGGCCTTGTGCCACAGCTATGCTTGGAAAATAACTGTGTGTGTGTGTGTGTGTGTGAGACAGTGATGTATTATATATGTTATTATTTATATATTATATGCGTGGTACTTATTAGAAAGCGCTCAATATCAGAGATAGAGTTAACATATTTGGTTGGATTGATGTGAGTTTGTGACCCTGGGTTTCATGCTTTTGCGATCGTCAATCACGTTTCACAAACTCACATCAATCCAAGCAAAATAAATATATATATATATATATATATATATATATATATATATATATATATATATATATATATATATGTATTTAGGCAGCAATCCTTCATTTATGCATGTTTCATTAAAAACGACAGACAAGGTACTAAGTTTAAGCTTTTTATTTAATTTTTCTCGTGTGCGCACAAGAGCTTTCTTTTTTGGCCACAGAGTGTGTAGAAACTGCCCAAATGTTCTGTAGTTCCGAGTGATTTCGGCTATACTTTTAGCCATTATCAATTATGATTTTATTTTTTTCAGTTTAATTGAGTGTGTATATTATGTGTAAGTTTTTAGTGTGTTATAGAGATGTTTTATTTTCCGAGAACGGTTAGCTTTGTTGTGGCCTTGTTCGTAGTTAATATTGTTAAGCGTTGGCTTTTACTTTTTATTAGGGCTTCCATTATTTTTAATCTTAACTATATATATATATATATATATATATATATATATATATATATATATATATATATATATATGTAGTTATTCTGGTTCTGTATTTATGGAGGTAAGTGCTGAATATCGCAGATAGAGGCTTTGTATATATAGTGTATACATAGCAATGAATACTGCGTGGTGAATGTCATTTTCACTAATTAACCTTCCCTCAGATCAAGAGGTCCTTGCGATTGCTTGTAGCGTGAAACTAACAGTTGATATACAGAGTTGATTTCTATGTAAACACTTTCCATCTGTCTACATATGTATCCATATATACATATACATATACGAGATAACGATATATATTTTTATATATCAAGAACAGTACATAATTTCTCCTTCATCTGTAGAACTATACCTCTGTTGATTCAAGTCTTCTCTTCATCTGGGTGGAAACTGTCCAGCAATCATTGCCGTTTAAGAAGATTAATATTATATAGCGGTTCAGCACTCTTTTCATTGTTTTCCTGCTTCTATCTTGTTTATCTTGAAATGCATTTTTCATTGTTCCAATACGCCTTTGCATTTCCGTGTCACATTGTTCCTTGTCTTTTAAAAAACTTTCCAGATTTAATACGCACATATATCTATTTAAAAAATGGTGATAATAAAAGTTCTGCCAGGAATAGTGAAAGAGCCAGGATGCAAATTTACTGTAGATGACCTTCTATCAAAGAATCTAAATGAAATCCGCTAGATCAAAAAAAAATTAAAAAATCCCAGCATCCCTCGTTCGTGCGCATGTGTTATCGCAACCAACATAGCAAATTTAACTACTGCCTCAATGAATCTTATTTCCAAGCCTGTTGAAAGTCCTCATCGATTTTTTCTAGTCCGACTCTTTCACATTTATAAATCTACCATTCGTCCGTGCATTGAATATTGTTGCCATATTTGGACTGATGATCCTGCTATATATCTAAGTATTCTCAATAAAATCCAAAGAAGGATCTGTAATGTAATAGTATTGGGGAAAATTGCGCAATAACAAATTTAGTCTGATGAAGTCCTGAAGGACATCACAAGTATACTTTTACCACTTTGTCATACAATTTACTCTATATATATATATATATATATATATATATATATATATATATATATATATATATATATATATATATATATGAATACATGTAAGTGCATCAATATTTTCACAATCTAAAAAAAACTCACTTTACAAAACAAATATTTATTTTTCAACATATTTCAGTTTTCGTCGATGCACTTAATGCAGTGGTAAATATTAATAACAGTGAGTAGAATATTACGCAATTAAAATTTCACGTAATAAGATTCACGTAATAACTACGAACGAATAGATAGATAGATAGATAGATAGATAGATAGATAGATAGATAGATAGATAGATTGCCAGAGCGACAGACATAAACGGATAGATAGATAGATAGATAGATAGATAGATAGATAGATAGATAGATAGATAGACTGCCAGAGCAACAGACATAAATAGATAGATAGATAGATAGATAGATAGATAGATAGATAGATAGATAGATTGCCAGAGCGACATACATAAACGGATAGATAGATAGATAGATAGATAGATAGATAGATAGATAGATAGATAGACTGCCAGAGCGACAGACATAAACGGATAGATAGATAGATAGATAGATAGATAGATAGATAGATAGACTGCCAGAGCAACAGACATAAATAGTTAGATAGATAGATAGATAGATAGATAGATAGATAGATAGATAGATTGCCAGAGCGACATACATAAACGGATAGATAGATAGATAGATAGATAGATAGATAGATAGTGCGAAAGAAAGTAGGGAACCCCCCTATGTATGTATTCAGCTAAATATAAAAGGTAATTAATAAAGTTTTATGACGACCGACTTAAATTCTTTGAAATAAACGAAGGAACTTTGTATTTATAGTTCATTTTTAGTTGTAGAAAAGTTCTATCATATGATGTGAAAATATAGAATAAATACGATGCATTTAAGTTAGTCGTTATTCTAGATCAGTCAGTTGATTGGCGGGCTAATCTAAAGTGAAATCTTCACTCGTTACACATCCTGACAATAAATGCAGCTTATTTAGTAAAATTTTCAGCTTTTGCTAAGTGACTGGTGCCTTGAGACATTTCGCCTAAAAGGTTTAATTGATTCAACGATGTAATCTCAACGAAATGTCTACTAAATTGTCAATCAGAGAAATCTCCCCATGGTTTAGTTCCCTTCTTGTATTAATTGGGAGTCGAGAATAAGTGTTCCTTTATAAATATCCAAGAAAGAATGTCTCTTTCGACTGAATAAGGTTAGAAAATTCTTGAAATATTTAAAGTGACTGGTAATATGTCTATATTTCTGAGATGAGGTATTATGTACATTATTTACATTATTCGGACTATTGTCCTCATCTTTTTCGCCATATCTACCACAACGTTTCAGCCGTTGTACACTCCGGCCTCCCTCAGGTGGTTGGAATGTCGAACCGAACCCTTTATTTCGCCCACTGGGGTAGACTGTTCTAGTTCCACGTGCCATGTTTGATGGATGTCAGTTATCAGTTATCTCCTGTTAATTTCCCTCTGAAAGTTCTCCACTGCCTTAAACGGATATTGAACTCACACTTTTGGGGTCCTGTAAACTTAAGGAATCAGCACATATGCTAGGCCACAAAAATCTCCTGAGCCGACCAAGCATAGACATGAATACAATATGGGAACCAGTAATAAGAAGTGCCAGAGATAAGCAATAATAACAACATAGTTGCAATATGAGCTCTGGTAAAAACATGCAATGATAACAGCAAAATTGCAATATGAGCACTGGTAAAAATGGTTGCTGAAGACATTAGGTTTATAATACCCAGAAATTCATAACCTCAAGGACACATGGCACAGTGGATAAAGGCGTTGGTTAGATCCAGTGACAGGACCCAGAGAGTGTGAGTTCAATACCCGGTTAAGGCAGTGGAGAACTTTCAGAGGGAAATTAACAGGAGTTAACTGATAACTGACATCCATTAAACATGGCACATGGAACTAGAACAGTCTACCCCAGTGAGCGAAATAAAGGGTTCAGTTCGACATTCCAACCACCTGAAGAAGGCCGGAGCGTACAACGGCTGAAACGTTGTGATAGATATGGCGAAAAAGATGAGGACAATAGTCTAAATAATGACTGGTAATAAGTCATTTTTTATCCGAATTCTTATTTTAGAATCATTATATATATCATTACGAAACTTTCATTGAATGTTGTCGACGTATATATATACATTTTCACGACACAGTTAAATGTTAGTACCTAGTATTTGCAATATAAACTAGCTCCAAATTTAAAAACCAGCGTAGACATATACTAAACTACAATATGGCCGTTTCATGACTTATTTTTATTATATTTTGTCTTGGGGGTGTTGTTTATCTTAGTCGATTCTACAGAGATCGAAACAAAAATGGAGATGCCTATGGGAAATCGCCGGCAGCGTCTTTGTAGATATTTATTTCCTGTTAATAGCAATTTCTATTTTCCCCGGAAGGGCCAGTACAGTCCTGCTAGAATGCAGTAATAAAAGTGTTAAATAATTAATAAGAATGAACATGAGCAAGTAGACAAATGTCTAGATAATGCTAATCAAATGATTTTCAACCGTTAACACCCAGACATTATCCCTTGGCTAGTTAATATATTTGATGAGAGATAAGATTCACTTTCTTGATAATGTGGGAAAATGAAGTAAAATCAATCAATAAAATAATAATGAAAAATAAAAAAAAGAAATACATGTTTTGATCAGCAGAAATAACTGATCTTTCTTACTTCCATGTTTTTTGGGGTTTTTTTCCCGTCAGCAAATATCTTGACAAAATACTTTGTTACTCCATGCTCCGACGGTCTATAAAGAAAAGGAATTTGGATAAAAAAAAAAAAAAAAAAAAAAAAAACTTACCAAAATTCTTTTACAGCCCAGCTACTTAGTAGCAGTAGAAAAAAGTATTATACTTATTTTCAAAGTAGACAACAGCCAGTTATTAGGCACAAATGTTATATTGCT